CAGGTGTCGCAGTGGCAGAGGTGGTCGCGGAAATCGGGTTTGAGGAAGAGGGAGAAGCGGGTTGTGAGGGCGGGTTCGGGTAAGGCGGGCAGAGATGCATGTTTTGGTTCTTTAGTTTTCTTAGGGGGTGTAGGGAGGGCGGGAGGATCCTCGGGGATACTGGAGAGGGTACCACTTGGGTCTTCGGACTTTTGGCGCTTAGCTGGTACAGGAGCTGCTAGGTTCGAGGTAGTCTGCTGCTCGTCTTCGTCTTCATCAGATGCTTTGCGTTTCTTGCTGTCATTCTCTAGGGCGGCGATAGTGACCTTCTCCGAGTGTGAAAGCGCAATGGCTTTATCGTAGTACACTGGTGGCAGGAATCCGGTTGAGCCCGCATACTTCTTGATCCATGGGTTTGCGGCGACGCACTTGTAGCAGAGAAAGTGGTCAAAGTCATCTTCTTCGGGAAATCCTGGGGGTAGGGGCGGGTCATCATCATCTTCTTCGTCTTCGCCGCCAGCCGCTGTAATGTCGTTCCCATCGACACCATTGCTGTTTGTGACTATATTGGCAATAGCTGTGTTGTTCAATGACACCGTCTCTGCCTCATTCCCGTTCGTCTTGTTATCTCCTTCCGCGGCCTTGTCGACATCCATGGCTTCGTTTGTACTGCTCTTCAATCCAGCCTCGGGCTTTTCGATCATTTTGCTGTACTCCTCTCGAGTGAAGCCAACTATACACTCGGGATGCCACCAATCCTCACCACAGCCACCCTCATCGCAGCTTCCAAGCCCGAGGCATTGGAACATTGTTCCCTTCTCTTCATGAGGATCGTATTCTTGACCACAGCCACAGAATTTGTTTTGGAAGTTGTGATTGTATTTATTGGTTTTCGCGGGCTCTTCTCCCGTCACCTCGCCTTTCAGCCCAGTCTTCGCATTGATGCGAAGCGTACAAGGGGTCATATCAGGTATCCTTGTAGTACCGCAATCGCATATGAAGTTGCGCTTGTTGAACAGCTCGACAAGAGTGTGTTCGCCATGGCAGGAAATGGAGCATGAATAGCAGACGCCTGCTGGTGTGTACTGCTGAGCGGACGAGGCGGGCGCGGGATTGCAAGTGAGACATGCATAAAGGCTTTGTCTTAGAGGACCAAGGTCGCGCGTGCAAGTATCGAATTGCTATTAGGCATCAGCAGGTGCGCAGGTGATTTGGCGTGTGTACTCGCTCACATATGGAAGGGCCTCGCGTGCTTCTGCTTCGAGGCTAAGCTGCTCTTTGATGAAGCTATTTAAACATAATTAGTGACTTTTGCTGTAACTGTCTTGCAGAAAACATACTCTGCTGCTGTCTGGGAACTTTCGGATGCTTGCGACATGCTGCTAGAGCGCGGCTTGGAAGACATGCTTGTGGACTGCGAATCGGCCATGGTCACAAAATACCCCACTGGTTTCTGCTTTCCTAGTACGTCCGAGCAGGCACTGGAGAGTTGAGTCTACGTCAAAGCGCTTGAGAAGTCCCAAAGCTGACTTGTTGGGATTGCAAGTTGTGGAGGGTTGTGAGGCCTATCGACGACACAAGATGCGCGTGACCGCTGATTGGCTGTAATCAAACCACTTTACGCGTGGAAAAGGAAAGCGCGACGCGGTCGTGTTGCTTGACCCTCTCCTACTCCTCTCCCACCTGCAGCCCCGCACTGCTACACCCAATTACTATACAAGAGTCTCGTGCTCCATGTGAGAATTGTTAATTGAGTCAACATGAGGTACGCATCGCAAGCATGCACGGCTCAGACACCGAGCGCCAACCTCTAGCCCCTCCTTACCGCTAATACCACAATACTAACAAAGACTCAGCTCACCACCACCCCCACCCCTTCGCTCCAACATGTCGTCCGCAAATCGAGGCGCTGGGCCTGCCAGCAGAAGCAACAAGCGCGCAAGGGACGATGAAGACCTTCCCTCCTCAGCTGTGCATCCGCCGTCCAGCCGTAAGTTTGGTGCAAACAAAGGACACAACAAATACCTAACAGCTCACAGCCATGGCCTCATCCCCTCCCATGCTGCCTAATGAAGATGATGCGGATATGCTTGACGAAGATGACATCATCCGCGATGTCGACGACCTAGAAGAGGATGCAGAAGAGGCCGAGGGAATCGATCTGTTTGCCGACGACTTCGAGAATGACTATGCAGCCCGTGAAAACGATGCCTATGAGGGCCAGGGAATAGACGATGAAGGCGAATACGAAGAGCTCAGTCTTGCAGAGAGGCGGAAACTCGATGCAAGCCTGAACGCTCGTGACAGGGAGGCAAGACGCCGTATGCCTGCTGCCTTTTTGCCAGACGACGATGAGCAGGATGGCTTAGCAGGTCTAATGGGACGCCGCCGTGTTCGAAGACACCGCTACGATGAGGAAGATGATATGGATATGGCCGACGACATCATGAACGAGGAATTGACGCTTGAAGCGCTCACCGACGTCAAAGCTAATACGTTGACTGATTGGGTTGCCCAACCGCAGGTTGCCAGGACGATTGCGCGAGAGTTCAAGTCTTTCTTGACTGAGTACACGGATGAGCATGGCCACTCGGTTTACGGATCCCGCATTCGGACATTGGGTGAGGTCAATGCCGAGTCCCTCGAAGTCTCTTTCGACCATCTGGCAGAGCAGAAGGCCACGCTAGCCTACTGGCTTGCGAACACGCCAACTGAGATGCTCAAGATTTTCGACCAGGTTGCCATGGAGGTGACTCTCCTTCACTACCCAGACTACGAGCGCATCCACTCGGAGATCCATGTCCGTATCACCGACGTACCCGTACAGTACACTCTCCGCCAGCTTCGTCAGTCACATCTCAACAGCCTTGTCCGTGTCAGCGGAGTAGTTACCCGTCGAAGCGGAGTTTTCCCGCAGCTGAAATATGTCAAATTTGACTGTACCAAGTGCGGTGTCACACTTGGACCCTTCCATCAGGACTCCAATGTCGAGGTTAAGATCTCCTTCTGTCAGAACTGCCAATCGCGTGGTCCTTTCACAGTCAACTCTGAGCGTACCGTCTATCGCAACTATCAGAAGCTCACTTTACAAGAGTCCCCTGGAACTGTTCCAGCTGGTCGTTTGCCACGACACCGTGAGGTTATTCTGCTTTGGGATTTGATTGACTCTGCAAAGCCTGGCGAGGAGATAGAGGTCACGGGTATCTACCGCAACAACTATGATGCTGCCTTGAACAACAAGAACGGGTTCCCTGTTTTCGCTACCATTCTCGAAGCAAACTACATTGTCAAATCTCACGACCAGCTGGCAGGCTTCCGCTTGACTGAAGATGACGAGAAGGAGATTCGAAGACTGTCCAAAGACCCACGTATTGTTGACAAAATCATCAGCTCTATTGCGCCAAGCATCTACGGGCATACTGACATCAAAACCGCTGTAGCGCTCTCACTCTTTGGAGGTGTCAGCAAGGAGGCGCCGGGTCGACACTCGATTCGTGGTGATATCAACGTGCTTCTTCTTGGAGATCCCGGTACCGCCAAATCCCAGATCTTGAAGTATGTTGAGAAGACAGCCCATCGTGCAGTCTTCGCAACTGGTCAGGGTGCTTCTGCAGTTGGTCTCACAGCTTCGGTGCGTCGTGATCCTATGACGAGTGAATGGACTTTGGAGGGAGGCGCTCTAGTGCTTGCAGACAAGGGTACATGTCTGATCGACGAGTTTGACAAGATGAACGACCAAGATCGTACTTCTATCCACGAAGCCATGGAGCAGCAGACCATCTCTATTTCAAAGGCTGGTATCGTCACAACACTTCAAGCACGTTGTTCAATTGTAGCTGCTGCCAATCCCATTGGTGGGCGCTACAATTCCACAATTCCCTTCTCGCAGAATGTGGAGCTCACAGAACCTATCCTGTCTCGATTTGACATTCTGTGCGTTGTGCGTGACACCGTCGATCCAGCGGAAGACGAGCGCCTCGCCAAGTTCGTGGTGAACTCCCATGGTCGAGCACACCCCCTTGTCAACTCAACGTACGGTTACTCTGACAAGGCCAAGGCGTCACAAAATGGTGATGACCAGATGGAAGTCGACGGAGATGCTCCAGTGAAGGAGGGCGAGATTCCACAAGAGCTTTTGAGGAAGTACATTCTTTATGCTCGGGAGAGGTGCAGACCCAAGCTCTACCAGATCGAGCAAGATAAGATTGCGCGTCTCTTTGCAGACATGCGTCGAGAGTCCATGGCAACAGGAGCCTACCCAATCACTGTAAGTTGAATGCTTCTAAATCATCATACCATCCACTAACATCGTCAGGTCCGTCATCTTGAGGCTATATTGCGTATCGCAGAATCCTTCTGCAAGATGCGTTTGTCCGACTATTGTTCGTCAGTAGATATTGATCGCGCTATTGCTGTTGCGGTCGACTCCTTTGTTGGCTCGCAGAAGGTCAGCGCGAAGAAGGCCTTGGCAAGAGCCTTTGCGAAGTACACTCTCAATCGGCCTGGTGCTGTCTCAGCTCCAACTCGGGGAGGAAGACAGACGCAAAGAGCAGCAGCGTAGACAAGATTGCTGATGTTTTTTGATAAAATCTGACGGGTGTCACATGGTGATGAATTTATGGCTGTTTGTATGTAACGTTGGACTAGAGTGCAATGATACCATATGAAGTAGCGTCGTGTGAGCAAAACATGTTGACTTTTGGTATCAGCTGGGTGCTCAATGTCCAAACATCAGGTCCTCAATAGACAAGATGTGCGCGACCAAAAATCTAAGCATTCTGATAAGTTTTGCATGTGCATGACGCGCATTCCACTGCTGTTCAGCCTTTCGAATTCAAATGCGAAAGGCTACATCAGCACCAAAGTGAAATTTCCTGCTGAACTTAGGACTTGAACGATTGGTTCCGAAAACGATATACTCGCGGATGTGGTGGCTTAGTCATCATTTTATGGAGCTTAGTGCAAATCTTGGCGTCGTTTCGCCCACAGAATTTTGTGAGCGCACTACCTGACGAACTTCCACACCTCACGACCGGAGCACAACAACCACCCTTAGGAATTTCCCAGACAACTTCCTACGTGCAACGATGGCCCCCAAGAAGAACAAGAGAACCGCCGACTCCATCAACTCGCGCCTTGCGCTTGTGATGAAGTCCGGTAAGGTCACCCTCGGCTACAAGTCCACCCTCAAGAGCCTCCGCACTGGCAAGGCCAAGCTCGTCATCATTGCCGGCAACACTCCTCCTCTGAGGAAATCTGAGCTCGAGTGTAAGTAAACTGGTATTCGCGATTCCAAAAAGACGTGGCTAACATTACTTTAGACTACGCTATGCTTTCCAAGACCTCTGTCCACCACTTCTCCGGAAACAACGTACGTATACATTCCACCCTCTCTCATTGCCTAACGACGAGACGCCTGTACAACGGAACACATTATACATGAGTTCGGATATTCTAGGCCTATACTATAAGGACAGAATTGAAGAGTAATGGGGGTTGTTGTACAGGTTTACCTCCGAGGGCTGGCTCTGAGAATTGGTCCGATTATGGCCATGGAGAGCTGTCAGCTAACTTGATTGAAGATTGAGCTTGGAACTGCTTGCGGAAAGCTCTTCCGTTGCTCCGTCATGTCCATCCTTGACGCTGGTATGTTTTTGTTCGGCTCATCCATATTGACGCGATCCACTGACAGTATATAGGTGACTCTGACATCCTGAGCACCAACACCGAGAACTAGAGTGGGACTGCACGTGGGAAAAAAATCAGTTAGACATGATACCTAGGGTGTGGCGTATGCTCGACCCTTGATGATATCCAATGAATGACAAAAGATTCATGAGCCGTCTTCTTACCCTACCCTTTGCAATGTGACTCATTATGACTAGCCTGCCTCTGCTCTAACTATGTCATTGAGATAAACCCATGTCTCGTAAGCCGTCCGCGAGTTTGAGCAGACAATTAATGATGTTCACGAGCACGTGTTCATGTATCTTGTATGCGCAATGAAACAGAATGTAATGTCACTTGTCTACGTACTTACATGACCTTGTTTCAGAAGAGGCGCGTATAACATGATGTTCGCATTCCGTTGCCACGGATCCCCAGGATTGCGCTTTGAGTGGCGCTTACCTGCTTGGAAATCAATGCGCTCGCTTAATCGGGTCTTGGCGTGTGCCGCGCAATATTGTGATTAGCAATCACCACTGACGACTTCCCTCGACTTCGCCCTCCGACACCTCCCCACTAACACTCAAATAAAGGGTAAGGTACGGCTGTCGCAATCGTATTCCCTGGTAGACGTTTTACTGACATCTTTATCAGTTTGCGCACACACTCACTCCTTCTCGTTTTCGACGCTTTCCGGACATCCACTCATTGATTTCAAAGCAGGAAGAACCGTCACAATGGCCCGCCGTCCCGCCCGTTGCTACCGCTACTGCAAGAACAAGCCCGTACGTTAGACTGGAGATACAAGGAGAGAAGGACAATAGGCTGACTGGGTTATAGTACCCCAAGAGCAGGTTCAACCGTGGTGTACCCGATGCCAAGATCCGCATCTTCGACCTCGGTCGCAAGAAGGCCAACGTAGACGACTTCCCTCTCTGCATCCACTTGGTCTCCAACGAGTACGAGCAGCTGTCTTCCGAGGCTCTCGAAGCCGCCCGTATTTGCGCCAACAAGTACATGGTCAAGAGCGGAGGAAAGGAATCTTTCCATCTCCGTGTCCGTGTCCACCCCTACCACGTCGTCCGTATCAACAAGATGTTGTCGTGCGCTGGTGCTGATAGATTGCAAACGGGTATGCGTGGTGCTTTCGGCAAGCCCAACGGTCTTGTCGCTCGTGTCAACATTGGTCAGATCCTCATGTCCGTCAGGACTAGGGACTCTAACCGCGCTATTGCTCTCGAGGCTCTGAGGCGTTGCCAGTACAAGGTATGTGGACAAAGTATCTATTGGTGATGTTTCGAAGCTAACTAGCTTCAGTTCCCTGGTCGCCAGAAGATCATCGTCTCCAAGAACTGGGGTTTCACCCCTCTCAAGCGCGAGGAGTACATCCAGCAGCGCCAGGAGGGCAAGGTCAAGATCGACGGTGCCTACGTTCAGTTCCTCCGCAACAAGGGTAACCTTGCTGAGAACATCCGCCGCTTCCCTACCGCTTTCGAGGCATCTGCTTAGATTTTGAGTTGAGCGAAATGGGTTGCTGTGCATGATGATCATGGGTCCAATGGAAATTCGGTTACGGCGTGATTTGTTTTCTTCATCGGTTATGGATGAAGGCTGGAGGGAGAGCCTCTGCGGCATGTAACTGTAGAGAACGACCAGGAACAGCCCGACAATGACAAATGATACAACAATGTCTGCTTCCCGTATGGCAGTATGAGGAGGATGTGATGGTACGATGAAGAATAGTCAAGTGCATGCCAAGTCCAACCAGTACATTTGCATGGAATGCTGTGATGTAAGGGCTACCAATGTCAGATGTCTAGGTCTGCTTAATTCTTTAATGCCACCGGTGAAACAGGAGAACATCTTTTCAATAATGTACCATTCATTTCTACTAACAACACTGCTATGCTAAATGTGGATTGAGTGGGAATAAGGGAAAAAATACTTGAATCAACACCGAGCAATTCCCAGACGCTCCATGCGAGTGTTATCAACCCTCCCTCCAAAAAAGAAAGATTAAACACCAACGCCTGCGCCCCGACCTTCAGCTTGGGCTCTGGAAAACTGTTGTAAAAGCTGCAAGACTCCTCCACCATTGTTCGCTGGTGCAACTGCTTCTTCTTCATCGTCGTCATCTTGAGCTAAACGACTTGTTCGCCACGAGTCGCCAAGCATACTTTCTTCCTCGATGCGAGTGTGCGATGGACCCAGTGCGTCGGAGACTGGTTGAAGAGGTGTTCGGTACCGGTTCACCCCCGCTTGGTGAGGCGAGCCACGTAGGATCGAGGCTGAAGAAGGCTGGTGGTGCGGATCAAGCATCATAGATGTCATGGGCTCGTCTCTTGCCATAGGTCTCTGTCTCGGTGTTCTTTGCTGGAGGTTCTGGCGACCGGGTTGGTTCCTACTTGATGCTTTTGCGCCCATCTCTATCGGCTGTGCCGTCTGCGACATTGTGCCAAAGGTGTTTGGGAATTGTGGTGGCGGATGGAAGTTGCTGCGGCCTTGCAGACGACTATTGTAGCCGCGGCCGGAATTCTGGTATGTGTCTAGGAAGCCGTAATAGGAAGACATCATCTTGTTGTCCTTGGCCATGAAGTAATCTTCGCGGAGGTCTGGGTCTTCTCTGCGAGCGCTGGTGCCGTTGGCGGGGATGTTGTTGGCGTTACGTGTTGTCTTTGTGGATGGGAACATGGAGTAGGAACATGTGACTCCCAAGCCGTCGACGACAATCGAAAATTCGCGGAAGAAGTCGACAATGCGCTCGCTGCATTTGGGCAGTCTGAAGATGAGCAGGAAGGGGGTGACAACCATGCTCAAAATCTCCTCGGCAAATATGAGGATTTTAGGTTGGTACAGTTTGGTGAACTCAGCGCGGACTTCGTCTGTGTGCAATCTATCACGCCATGATTCTGGTTCATAGCGGGTGTGGTAGATGACGTGGTTGAGATAGTAAGCAGGGTCTGTGACTTGATCTTCCTGAGGGCTGCTTCCCCGTGCGACACGGTAGACCGTAGTAAGGATACCGATCCAGAAGATAGCTGTCTTGCCAGGTGTGATTTCGAAGTTGAGGAACAACTCGGAGCCGAGAAGGGTAAACAATACAAGGACGAACGCGAAAGCACCTGCAATGAATGCGACAAATGATGATAGCTGCTCAGTCTTGTCTTTCGGAAACTGGGCGAGGTAGAGATTCGCGTATGGATAGGCCATGTTACGGCGACGAGCAAAGTAATGAGGAAGTTCGTTGAATTCACGGAATTTCCACTGAGCGAAAGTCGTGAAGTCGCGATTACTGAGCTGGCCTGGGTCCTTGTGATACTCAGTGAAGTATTTAAATAGGTACGAGGCCAGTACAAAAACCACGGCGAAGGGGGCACAAAGAATACTGATAATTCCAGTCCAGAAGAAACGCGTCTTCAATCGCTTCACGAGCTCCCGGCGATTGCGTTCCTTGAGGAAGTCTGGGTTGAATTGGCCATTTGGTCCGCTGAAGACAAAGTCCATGATGGCAAGGTTAACATGCCATTTGGTTGTCTCGGAGAAGATGTAGCGGTTGCCCAGGAAGGGCAGGGGGACTGTGACATCAAGTATCTCCTTGTTGAACAGGGCAATGAGATAGTTGTCACGACGCATCAGGCGGCCTGCGATATCAATAGCATCTAGCCGCTGCCTGCTTTTCGAGTCAAGCAACTTGCGTGTTTCTGGCGACAGGTTGGAAGCAGTAGTCAAGTTCAAATCTCGTAAAGCCATGATGCGTGTGACGACTTGCTGCCATTGTATCGTCTGAATATCGCAGTCAGGAATATCAAGTAAATAATGGTAGAAATCGTGCATGGCTCGGAGTCGGGGTATATCTGTGACCATGTTGTAGAAGGAGTAGAGCCAGTATATGACGAAGAGCCATAAGGCCAGTATCCAAAAGCCGTGTATTCTACTTGCTGTCAGTTGGAAATTTGCGTTGTCCAATAGAGGAACTGACCTCGCAGCACACTTTGGTACCAAGACCTGGCTCATCTTGTTGCTGTCAGGAAACTTGGAGTAGTCGATACACCATCCAAGAAATGTCATGAAGCCCACGACAAAGGCTGTTTGCAGAAGCGTCAGGACCTTCCTCAGAAGGATCGAGTAAATGCCACAACCAACGTAGTACTCATAGACCTCAGTCATATAGTTATCCAGATCCGTCTGATTTACCCACAGCCACAAGGCTTTCTCCCGAGGATCTGCCGCGAAGTGCCCAGGTCTACTGGTATGCCCCCAAGGTTGTGAAGGTGCCCCTCTTCTGTCGTCGTCATGAAGCCGTTGCTGTGTACGGGTAGCATCCCACTGTGCCCGTGTCTGTCGCGTGGATGGGCCTGGTACAGGCATGGGGAGACCTTCGCCGCGCTTACTTGAACCCGGTGCTGGTCCATGTCCGCCTTCGAGAAGCAGGGACTGGGGAACGTCGTCGTCATCGTCGATAGGCGCAGTGTGGGCTGGCGCAGGCTGTCTCCATGCAGGTATACGACTTGCTGTGTTGATGCCTGGTGGTGCGTTACGTTTGGCATCTGGAGAGACTGCGCGGCTCTCGGTCGTCATCTGGCTGGAGGAGGCTTCCTCAAGCAAGTGCGCCAGGTCCTGCTCCTCAAAACGAGCACCAAAGTTCTCCTCGTCTATGTCCATCTCGTGCTGCTCCTCAGTCGAGACAGAGTTGCGATGGTGTGTGGCGTTTAGCGGTTCGTTTTCGTAGAGGTCGTCTGAGGCAGAGGGGAGGAGTCTGGATAGCAGGTTGGATGCCATCATGGCCGTTGTGCGGTATTGCGCTGAGCCAACGGGCGGGGCGCGTGGCCGTGCTGCGCTGGATGGGTGCGTCTTATGGGCGAGTAAGGTCAGAGGACCAAAAGCGTGATCCCCAGAAGTTGAGGCCTGAATCCATGGGCTCTGACGCAAGTCTGGTCAGTAGTTGTATCAGCAGGATACAAGTGGGCGGCGATGAGTGCGGCTATCGTCGAGCGCCTCATCGACATGGGACTCATGCAGGTGACGCGCCGCGCCGGTACCTATCGATCCATCTATCGATAAGCTCGGCTGCACCTGCCCTGGGTTTGCCCGACATGACACCTTTCTAGGTAAAGGTCACAACACCCATTCATTCATGACGACAAGCTATTTCCACGACCGCGCTGTTCCAGCGCCCCAGAATGGCGCCTCTCCCTCGTCGCCGTCAGGGACGCCCGCTTCAAAGGGTGCGAATGCGCTAGCCAGCCGCATCACAAGTGTGCTCTCCGCTTCCTATGCAGATCTTGAGATTCGAGATGCCTTGGAAACTCTAGATGCACGTGGAGTACAAAACTCTGCAGAGACGCGCCGTCAACTTCGCCTCGATGTGCAAAAAGAAGTCATACAGTGCAATGGCGAGATCATCAAGGACTTTGGTCAGGTTGCCGAGGTATGTCAGGATATCAACACTAAAAGTAGTCTACTAAATGATTCCAGCAATTGAAGCGCATTGGAACAGCAATCAGCAGTCTGAACAACTACTGTGCTGACATGCGTGGCCATATTGCGGCTGCAAACAAAGAGACTGACGCTGTCTTGGAAGAGGCCAACAGTCTCATAAGCCAGAAGAAACAGGTCGAATCCAAACAGCAAGTGCTTAACGCATTCGCTGCTCATTTCCTCATCACGGAGGATGATGTAACTGTGTTGACTTCTACCGTGGAGCCCGTCAACGAGGAATTCTTCCAAATCTTGACTCGTGTAAAAAAGATACATCATGACTGCCAGGTACTTCTTGGGACTGAAGATCAGCGACTGGGCTTAGAGGTGCTAGAAAGAAGCTCCAAACAACTCAACTCTGCTTTCCAAAAGCTTTATAGGTGGATCCAACGCGAATTCAAAACGCTGGACCTGGAGAACCCACAGATCAGCGCATCGGTCCGGCGATCTCTGCGTGTACTGGCTGAAAGACCTGCCCTTTTCCAAAGTTGTCTGGACTCGTTTGCTGAAGCTCGCGAGTCGATTCTGTCAGACGCCTTTCATGCAGCATTGACCGGTTCGACATCGGAAAACCACATAGCCACCAAGCCCATCGAGTTTTACGCTCACGACCCGCTACGCTATGTGGGCGATATGCTTGCCTGGGCTCACTCTACGACAGTATCAGAAAGAGAGGCACTCGAAAATCTTTTCATTTCGGATGGTGAAGAAATCAAGCGTTCCATCCAGGCTGGCTTAGAAAGCGAGCCCTGGCTAAGGGGCGACCAAGATGCCGAGGTGTTTGATGGGCGAAGGGCTCTTAATCAACTCGTCAGCCGTGATCTTGCAGGTGTAGCTCGTTTGCTGAGACAGCGAACAGAACAAGTCATCCAAAGTCATGATGATGCGACCCTGGCATACAAAATTGCCAATCTGATTGGCTTCTACAAGGGAACGTTTGCAAAGCTGCTTGGGGCTGATTCGGAAGTTCTGGATGTCTTTGACACATTAGAAGCTTCTGCGATGCGGCAGTTCCGCGCAAACATGAGAGACTACGTCGCCAACGTACAAAGTGATCTTGCTGTGGCGCCAGCAGATCTCTCTCCTCCTGAATTCCTGGAAGAGGCATTGCAGATACTCAAAGTACTTGCAAAAAGTTATGATACATCACTCGCTGCAACGGATGATGATGGCCAGGGCTTCCAGGCTGTACTATCAGAAGCCCTCGATCCTTTCTTGAGCAGTTGCGAGAACCTACAGAAAGGCATGAAAGAGCCTGATAACTCCATCTTCGCTGTCAACTGCTTGTTTGCGGCTAAAGAAATTCTATCCCAATATGCCTTCACCAAGGAGCGAGTCAGCGACATAGAAGACACAATCCAGGAGACTGTAGCCAAACTAACAGACTACCAACATCAATACCTGGTCAATGAATCTGGCCTAGTTACTTTGCTTGAGGCGCTCGCACCAATCAGTGACTCTGCCGAAAGCCTCAAGACAGTGCCCCAGTTGGAAGCATTCAAACCAGATGCATTGGTCTCTGCCAGTCAACAGCTGGATGAGTTCCTACCATCTGCCCTCATCGACGCAGCAGAGAACATCAAACAGCTACGCAATAGAAAGATGATACAAGATATCAACGAAGAGGCTGCTGGTAGGTTCTGCGAGGATTTTGAATTGGTCGAGGGCAAGATAATAGCTGCGGATGAGTTGGTGGATGACGAGGAAGACGAAGATGAGCAGGAACCCAGATTGAGGGATTTGTTCCCTCGTACAAGTGGTGAAATACGGGTGCTGCTGAGCTAGGGAGCTAGATATATAGAATAGATGTAGTCTCTTTGGAGCCCAGTCCTGTGGTCTAGATCCCTCAATGATCACACCCATTGGGATTATGTATCATGGAATGCGCTTTGCTCATGGCGGTGAACCATGCTTTGGATACATTCACTATGGCTAGGTTGTATCGTATTTACTGTGGTTTCTTCTTCTCCCATTCCTCTGGCGTATGACACTTGGGTGTCCACGCATGTATCGCTGCAATTTCCTCCTTCAGCGTACTGTTGACTAGCCGGTGTCGTGCTAGAGTGGTCTTCTTGGCAAATTGTGGTGATACGATGATAGCCTCGTACATTTGCCCGCATCCGCCTATTTGTAATATCAGCGTAGTCCTGTGACTCAGAGAGCGACTGAAAAGAAAAATATCCCGACGCCAGGCCCTGCCCGCCCCGTTTTACTTTCTCTCTCTCCTCTTCCTTTTCTGGGTAGAAAAATGGGATTCATGCATACCACTCAAATCTTCAATTTCAACATGTGTTGCACCGAGTCCATCTTCCAGCTTCTTCTTGATCCCTTCTATGGTAACACCGGAGGTAGCCTGCACGTTCGTGGCCTCCGCATCCGTTCTTGCACTCATCGCTTTGGTATCTTGTGAATCGATCGCAAGAGTGTCGAGTGTTTTGTAAAGTTTGTGTCGTGGATCCATGTGGTAATGATGTGATATTCCTCCAGTGTTCCTATCTTCGGATCTGATAAGATTGGGCATCCGAATCAGGAAAAGGCGCAGACCGCAAGCGGGGAGGGGCTGATGACGCATGTCGGCTATGGATGCAGGGATGGTTAGCACGTGCCTTTGTGATTGCAAAGTATTGCTGCTTTGGGCTTGCAATTATTCCATTGAGGGCTGTATGTTTGCGTCCACGGCACGGCGATTCGCAATGAGTGCGACTACTACCTGTGCGCCGTTCTCACAGGCGGTTGTAAGGGCAATGCGGAAGTTGTAGGTTCACTCTCCCACATGCTGAATATTGTTTGGATCTCGCAGCCAGAGAACCAAGCACATACAAACTTGCTCTGCCAGAGTACTGATTGCAAACAAAGATATCCGCGAGAGCTTGCAGACAACTCTTGGGACAATACCGGATTGCTACTCGAAGCCCCATTCAATGCTTCTCGCCGCCAGTCAAACACAGTCCTCCTTACCATTGACCTGACCAAAGCCGTTGCCGACGAGGCCATTGCACTCAACTCTTCGATCGTCGTCGCATACCACCCTATCATATTCCGAGGCCTGAAGTCGTTGACTCTTGCGGATACACAACAGCAATCGCTACTGCGGCTAGCCAGTCATGGAATTAGTGTATACTGTCCACATACAGCGTTGGATGCAGCACCAGGAGGACTGGGAGATTGGCTAGCAAATATTGTTACAGGCACAAAGAATGTGGGTCAGTCTCCAGGCGCAGGTCAACTAGAGCCCTCAAATCCTACAGAGGAAAACAACGACGATCCCTTCATTGAGAAGAAACGGCCAACTTTTACCCTGAACCACCACCCGAGCCAGCGTACCCTCCAGTTTGGCAAGCTACTCACTTCGACAGCCCCCGTTACTGCTCCACACAAGCGAGAAGTCATCAAACCCCAGACGCCGGAACTCGCTTCACATCCAAACGCCGGCATGGGCCGCATCGTGAGATTCGATGATGCCCAGCCCCTTCCCACTCTCCTCGATCGCATAGGCAAAGGGCTCAACAACCCCAAGGGCTTCCCAATCGCAATCCCCCAAGGTAAAACAATCTCTGACATGCAAATCAAAAGCGTAGGCATCTGCGCAGGCTCTGGCTCCGGCCTCCTCAGCGGCCTAGACGTCGACCTGCTCTTCACGGGCGAGCTAGACCATCATGCAGCACTCGCAGCAATCGAGCAAGGAAGAGTAGTTATCAGCTTGTTTCATAGCAATTCTGAGCGCGGGTTCCTCGCCGAGGTTATGAGTACGCAACTAGAAGATGCTGTGGACGAGGAGTGGAAAAAGGTCAGGGAAGAGTACAAGGATAACGGAGAGTTTCGGGAGGCGCTGGCGGATGAAGAAGTCATTGTTGAGGTCAGTGAGGCAGATAGGGATCCGTATGGTATTGTGGTTTTGAGGGATGACGCGGGACAAGCATAGCGACAATACAGTATACAAACAGTATAGGCGATAGATGAGGTTCTGAGAAGAGCCAGGCATACTCAATGTTACTCGCTAAACAAGCGTAGTATAGATCCTGGGTCGTCCCACACATTAGCCGATTAATGAAAACAACATTCCTATTGCTTCCAACATTGGGTTGAAGTGACCACGCATAGCAATATAAATTTTGTAAAACCCGTTATCTCCATCGAAACTCAAAACCGAAGCGCATTCAGCGCTTTCGCAAACATCCTCCGTGGCGCAATTGGCTAGCGCGTCTGACTGTTACAGCTGTAGCTTATCAGGAGGTTGAAAGTTCGAGCCTTTCCGGGGGAGTTTCACTTTTTTTGCCCTCGTCAACCACGCACCATTTTTTTTTTGCTTACACCACTCCCTTAGTTAGAATAGTGGAATTCACTTTTGTTTTCCTGCTCCTCATGCCTGGTCTTCATTTCAATCATCCAATGTAATAAGCGGCACATCATCAAATTTACAGAGTTGTTTCTTGGGGGGAGGCTAACTTGACTGCCGTTCCGACACGGAAAAAGTCAACATTGCGCATCTACTTTGATAATAACACATTGCTTCGATATCGTATCGTATAACCCAAAGTCGCTCACTGTCCTCAGACAAATCTCCTCGAGCCTCGCTTTCACCATAACCATGCTCGTTCCCGAAATAGCACTGTCAACCTGTCTCACACCAACCTCTGGGTTATTCCCTGGCGACGCCTGTTCCGGGCCCAACGACGGCATTACTCTCGCTAGGAGATTGCGGCGGGAAAAACGCGGCGATGGGGCTTGTACGCTTGCACTGCGACCACCAGTAGCAGTAGGAGAAAGGGTAGTATCCCGATAGCTAGGCGGATCTGTAGGGGCAGTAGAATGCGGATTCAACCGCGCAGTCAGGACGGTTTCAAGTTCGTGCAGGACGGTTGGTAGTTTCCAGAATTCTGTGCTGTTTATGGGGCCGGATAGGTGGATGAGGTGGGGGGGAGAGGTGTCGGAGGCGAAGCCGAGGACTTGGATGGAGTTGGAGTCAGAGGAGGATGAGGGGGCGTCCTGGGGGAAACTGGAGGAGGAGGAGGCGTCTGACTTTGTGGGCGCGAGGGATGTGTCTGATGGGAGGAGGGCAAGGGTCGTTGTTGCCATGGCGTAGGTGATGCGTTGATGGATGAGGGGAAGGATGTAAGTGTCGACTACGGACTCGATGTGTTGGGTACGTGTGGTGTTTAGTTGGTCGAGGATTGATGGTGATGGGGACGAGGCGTGGGGTGAGTATGGTGGTGGTGCTGCATCGCTGTCTTTCTCTGACATTTTTCCAAGTGTGATAGAAGGCTCCAGAGTGTGAGGTGTCGAGTTTGGTTGCCTGGCGAAGAACTTCGTATAATTGGTAACGGTGTACAACGACCAGCCTTGTGCTCACAGGCAAAGAGTCACCAAGGCTACTCAGTTGTACGGTAGTCCGATGGCAAACCCAGGAAGAACGACTACCGGTCTTGTGCGGATCACGGCAAGCCCCCCTACCCAAAGCAGACACGATAATCTGCCCTGTCTCCGCCTCACAACTGAGGTCTATCAACTAGCGCCAAGTATCGCCATAGCCATTGTCCCGTCATACCCTACTTTGGTGGTGGTCACAGGATGCCTTAAACATACACGGGTAAGCGAATCAGACATCTTTCAATCAAGGACACCCGAGGCCACCCGGGCCGACCCATCTTGGCCAACCAAACTCCATATCTGACCGAGAAGAGAGAAGGAGTCAGGCAAACATGCTGTTGTCAATACTTTTTTTCCGCAGAAAAAAAAAGGCTATGTCATGTCTCAGACAAACACAGCACTTGTGCCTCTCGCATTTCAATGCGCCAAACGACCGAGCAAACGCCCGAGAAAATCATCAGATTTGCAGTGCAGACTTGAACGCTTTGGGCCACCGGGAGGTAAGAACAAACCTATTGCAAAAAAGGGCCCGTACACCCAATTAGGCCTCCTATGTAGGTCACAGGTTGTGGCTGTGCATAAGGCAGAATCGTACTAGTAGGTGCGAATAGTACCCCCGGCCCCTCGGCTCAGATGTGGTCTGTGCGCTCCTCTCACCACTATTGTCCAATGTGTTCACCGAACTGCGCACTTGGACGTGCCGTGTTTTACGGTGCTAGTACTTGTGGGAGCGTATCATGGCCAGGCTGAAGGTGTATAAAGGCATATCATTCTGCTGTTCTAGGATGGTTCACTAATACCGAATTCATTATTATCACCGCTTCAAGATTTGGTCCTACGGTACGATATCTTGTGTTCTGTGTGAAATAGTCGAATACGTCTGATTGGTATAAATATATATCCATTCACCTCTTTTTTCTTGTATCTCTTTCCAAGTCTGGCATATAAGAATCCTGTCAATCCACACCCCAATTCTACCTGATTAACACACCACCGACTCCATCGATCGAGCATCAATCACCAGCACACATCGCCTTGAGCAATCTCAGTCCCATCTAGAAAAAACCATCAGCCATCATGTGGTACCACGTCGCAGAGCCGAATTCCTACCTCGTAATTACGGGAGTAGGAATTCAAAAGGTTCTCATCAAGAAAAAGGCCTTCATCTACCCTCTGCAAAAAGTCTCCAAAATCTCAATTACACCGTTCGATTTCTCCATGTCGCTACAAGCAATGACGATTGAGAAGCTTAAGTTCTCTCTCCCAGCAGTCTTTACAATCGGTCCTGCGGATAACCCAGAAGCTTTGGAAAAGTATGCCGTTCTGCTTACAGGCGAGAGTGATGGCAGACCGACACAAACTGCTTCAAAGGGAGTGGTTGCGGTAGCTGAGGGACGCAGCCATGTCCAGGACATTGTCAAGGGAATCATCGAGGGCGAGACAAGATCAATCGTTTCCACCATGACCATGGAGGAGCTGTTCCGCGAGCGCAGAATCTTCAAGGAAAAGGTCATTCAACAGGTAATGCTCACCTTTTCGCCATTCAAATCAACCACATACTCACCAGTGTTTAAAGGTACAATCGGAGCTCGACCAATTCGGTCTCTGTATCTACAATGCCAACGTCAAGGAACTGCAAGACACACCAGGGTCAGAGTACTTTGCTTTTCTCTCACGCAAGGCACACGAGGGTGCTCTGAACCAAGCAAAGGTCGATGTTGCCCACGCTCGCATGCAGGGTGAAGTTGGCGAGGCTGAAAAGCAGGGCAAGACCAAGCAAGAGGTGGCCAAGATCCACGCCCAAACTGCTGTCCTCGAAACCGAGCGCAAGGCCGAAAAGGCAACGGCAGATGCAAAGTTTACTGACAAGGAGATTGAGATTAGCAGGGACCTCAACGTAGCTAGGATCAATGCTAAGCGCGAAGCTGAACGCCGCGACGCAGAGCTTCAAATGGAAGTCGAGAAGAAGAGGGCACTCATGGAGCTTGAGCGTCTCCGAGCTACCAAGGTCGTGCAGGCGAAGATTGAGAAGGAGTCTTCGCAACAAAAGGCTGATGGACAACTCTATGCTCAAGAGAAGGCCGCAGAGGGCAAAAAGTACAGCGAGCAAGCCGAGGCCGAGGCGGTCGCCTTCCGCCGCCTACGAGATGCAGAGTCGAACTTTCAAGCCAAGGAGCGTGAGGCAGAAGCCAACTTCATCGTCTCCAAACGAGCCGCTGAAGCTGAGTACTTTGCTCAGGAGCGCCAGGCTCAAGCTGAGCTCATCAAGCAGCAACGCCAAGCCGAAGGTCTATCCGCAATGGCAAAGGCCTACGGCGACATGGCCAATGTCCTAGGTGGACCCCAAGGCCTAATGCAGTATCTCATGATCACCAACGGCACTTACGAGAAGCTGGCTCAAGCCAACGGCCAAGCCATCAGGGGTCTGCAGCCCAAGATCAATGTCTGGAACACTGGGAGCCAAGGGGGCGAGGGCATGGCTGACCCTGCAGCTCCGATCCGCAATCTCTTCCAGAGTCTGCCTCCTCTGCTTAGCACCATCCACGATCAGACTGGTATGGCACCGCCCACCTGGCTGGCTCAGATGCCACAGAACGGTGATATGAGCAAGATGCAATTGAGGAACGGTAGTGATATTTCCTCATAAAGGCGGGAAGCAGTGCTCTTGAATCCCGTCATCCCCTAGAGGCTCAAATGAGAGAACGGGGTTTGATCTAGTAAAGACTGAGGAACGAGCGTACGAGGTATCATATGTTGTACGATTGGTTGTCATACCCCATAATTAACTGTGAATGTAGCTAGGCGTTGGAGGTCTTTTTGTTATACAACTTAGATTGATTTTTTTCAAAGAGTGGCACTTTAGTGGTACTGTGTTGGATTAATTATATAGAGTAATGAAAAAAAAAGACTTAGCTTGCATTTGTATTCATTGTGGGTACGATGAGGTACAACCGCATAGCCGATGCTAGTCAATGTGCAGGAGCGGATGGAGATGGTTTATTTAATTCCTTGGTCGTCAGATTATTGTTCAACCACTTCATACAGCTTCTGATGTCCTCGTGCGTATTTGATGACGAATCCTTTTAAGCGAGTTGGGTTGGTCAGGTGCTATTCCAACGGGACTCTTGTGGACAAGCCTTGCATTGGTTCGGTGTAGCGGCATACCCGGATCGACTCGAAGGGGTTTTTCTTAAAAAAAAAAGAATTGCGAAGTTGCACGATGGGTAGTCAGAGATTATACTTGTTGCTTTGCTGAACAGTAACCAGGATGGTAGGACTTTGACTTCGCCGTCTTGGATTCAGGGGAGGATTATTAACGATCGTCCGTGAAGGCCCGAAATCAGAGTGCGTTGATCATCGCTACTGCAAACGCAAATCGCGTACCGTTTTCTATCATTTGAGAGCCGAGGGGTAAAGCTTTCCGGACTCCGCGGTTTGAAGTGATACTTTATTGACCGATACTAGAAAAGCCAGGGAGCAAGTGACAAGGCGAAAAGCAAACAATGGAATATAACGAACTGCAACCCGAAGGGGGGTAGGGGAAGCTTAACGAGGTTGGACGATCGATCGACTATTAAGAAAGCAGATGCAATAGTGTCAGGACCACCCTTGGACAAGAAAGCATGTAGGCCGTACACAGTAGTGATGAGCGAAACAAGATGCAAGCACAGCCATCCTTGACCAGGAAGCAGGATACAAAGCATGTTGCAAAGTCTAGTCAAGCCTTCAATACTCCCAACTGTGGATGGAGGGGCTTAGGGTGTGCCACAGTTGCCATAGTTATATTGGCACAGACGGACAGATAGGCTTCCGTCCAACCTTCCGCATTCGATTCTCCAGGCACCGGCACCGGGAAGAGGGGGGTGGGGCCCAACATGCCTCAAGTTGAAACTTTCCATGGATCCAGCGTCCAAGTGGCGTCAGAAGCATGCGAGATGGTGTCGCGAGGTCACGGATGGACACAGTAAGCCGGGGGCGTGAAACCAGTGGGAAGTGGTGAGAGGGAGGGTGGCTTGCTAATCAATCGACAGAAGGAAAGGGCCAATTAGTCCGACGGTGGTTGATGGCATAAGCCCAGCCGCACCATTGCAAGGTGAAGGACGCGAGTCGGCAAATCACCATGGAAACGACGAGTGATATGGTGTCACCAAGCGCTGCAGCCATGAGCCGATACGAGGCCCTCAGTCGTGCCCGCAGCCGGAAATCCCGTCCTGATGTTGTGGTGGCCGCGCAATTAGTGCAATGCAAAGAGACAAAGAGTAACCAGGCTGGTGCAGAGCACACTAGGCGGCTTCCCCTCGTTGCCACCAGCCCAGCGCCATTCCGCTTTGGGCGCGAGAATTGCCCATCGCGACGCGTCCCGACGCGTCTTGACGTGAATTTTGACGCACCACCCGACGAGACAAAGAACCACACAGCCTGACTCTTCTTACTCACACCATGCCCTCTCCACACACACCACACACGCACACGGCACGGCTAAGGCGAGGGGGCGGCTGGGGGTTGCAAGCCATCCTTGGCCACGGCCAGCCATGCAACGAATCCATCCTCTGCTCGCTGCTTGTTTCATTTCCATGGATATTGACAATGAACGTCTCTTTCTGCACTGTGCGAAAAGATATATTGCACCCAAAAAAGGCCCATCTGGTCTTCTCTTCTCTGTCTGCCTCTCTCTCCTCTCCAGCACTCTAACTGGCGCCCGCCGGTCAGCTACGGCCACCACCCCGAGCAAACAACGTTAGGCCTCGGCGGAATGCCTAGACGGACTGATCCGTGCGGTTGCTCGCCAGAGCTTCAGCTTTTGCCGTTTGCTCATTGTGGCCTGGTGCATCCACTCTTTGCTGCATGCTTTTATCTCTTTTTTTCTTTTCTCCTCCCGCTTGCCTCCCCGCCTGCCAAATTTCTTTCCGAATGACGTCCGCCCCTGGCTGCAAATCGTATATACCTATGTATGTACAGCATGTCCGTCCGGCTGACTGCAGGGCCAGCTGCAGATAAGATGGTGTGTAGGCACGCACGAGTTTTTCTCGTCTTTGTTTGTTTTCAAGAGCCATTGTTGCCCTTGTGCTGTAAACATCAACCCTGTATTGGCAAGGTCACTCCTCCTAGCGAGTCTCAGCACATGCTTCCCCGGCGCTTGGCTCATTAGGTTCCAAGTCTGTGTGCGCGTGTGTGTGCCTGTACTCGTCCATGTGTGCTTGTGAGTGTGTGCCTGGTCATTCATGGGTCATGGGGGCTGTTTTCGGCATAGACACGGTGATGACGCCTGTGCTCAGCACCCACGTTACGGAACTACTTTACGGCACGGCGTTGCGGAGCTCACTGTACCAAGAGGGGCTCATGTGGAACACACCATCACCTCTTTTCACTCTTTTCCACTCCAGGCAAGCTCACTCGAGTCAAATCCATTCCATTCATTCATTCAATCATTATTACAAGCTCGTCTGCCTCAGACTCGTCATCATTCGGGACCAGCTAATCTATCAGAGTGCACAGGCTTTTCCTCGTCCCCATCCTCATCCTCGTCCAAGCCCGCATCACCCGTCCAGCCGATCCCTTTTCTCCGCATCGAAGCAGAGTTTGCTCAAAGAAAGAGACATTAGGTATGAGTCCTTCACGCTTCGAGACAATCGTTGAGATTCGTGAAGACTGAATACCCCTTCAGGTCCATATCCCGTCGCTTCATCATAACCTTCATCATGACCGTCGTGACAAGGTGGAGAACAAAAAAAACACAAACACAAGGAAATAAAGCACCACAGCGTCTAGTGGGCCAAGAATGAGTGGAGGCTTGAGTCAAGACAAGATGACCAAGTATACAAAAGAGATGGTTTAGGACAGAGGCAGGCTGTTGGCCTGTCTCATTGCCCGAATCGGGTCAGGGTCTTCTTCTGGTCATCATGGAACTCCATGTTGCATGTCACCATGACTTCCCAGCACCCTGCCCTCGTATTACGGAAGTGAATTGGAAACACTTTCAGCCGCATCATCATGTCAAAATCGTAAGCCCGGTAAACACAACCGGGGGCGTCCTCGCCATCAGTACAATGTCGGCAACCGAGTGTACGGTTTGGTATAAACAAAACATAGGAAATGCTTTTCGAAATAAGCAGGCTCGCCGTCCTGAGCAAATTGGCAAGTATATGCTGCCACAGCACAAGAGGCTGACCGTCATAACGCCAATGATGCAGTCGTTGTGCTTGATCGCACAACAGACTGGAAGAAATCGTCGTCGAACCCTATGATCGCTACAGGCGAGTGGCATCGCGAGGCATACCGGCAAACCGTTGCTCAAACGATGCGGGAGCCTCGAAGCTGTGTGACATGGTCGGTCGAGGGAACATGTTATTTGACCGGCTGACAAATGGTGACCCTAGGCGAGCAGTAGATTGACCGAGCACATCATTTGCTACGGCGGGTGAGTGTGGGCTCGACAAGGCAGAACGAGAGTCTGCAAATGGGTTGAAGCCCGAAGGGTCGTTGGCTAGAGGAAGGCGTCGTGCTCCTTCCGTCATGTCGCCCAAGCTGAAGCCACGATTCCTGACACCTCGGTGGCTCGATTCTGCCGGAGCTCCAAAAATCTCATTGACGAAGCTCTCTCCTCGGTTACGCACCCTTCCCTCGAAGCTGTTGTGAAGGGCACGACGCTTGAACACCTTGGACCTTGGTCGCGGTGCGTGTAACTGGAAAGGAGAGCCTAGACGTGGTGGCTGAGACGTTGAAGATGCATGCCAAGTACGTGCGCTATTCTGGCTCATACTAAGCTTGTTGGCTTCGAGCTTTGCGTGGAAAGGAGAGCCTAGTGCAGTGCCTAGCCCAAGGCCGAGCCCGATGTGGAGTGACTGCGACTTCTGATGAGCAGAAGATCGGGCACTTGACCATGTTCTCGCTGTCGGCCGTGGTGTAATATCCTTGGTGAGTTGTGACAGTGGGTTGCCCAACTGCATTGACACAGCAGTACTGGTCGCTAGCGAGAGGTTCATGTCACGGGTCGAGAAGGTCGTCGATCCCTGAGAGAAAGGCGAAGACAAAGGTTGTTGCGGCACTGAAGACGACGATGATTGTGACGGTTGCGATGGCGGTTCCTCTGGAGGCGGAGAGGATTGAAGTGGTGAGGGTGATCGATGGAGAAGACGTTGGTAGTGTGCAGACAAGGTAGGTTTCTGTTTGGCCAAATCTCGTAGACGCTTTCGACATTGCTTCTCGGTAGGGTATCGCACGAAGGACTTGCCACTCTTGCTCGGCTTCATGGCATTCGGAGTACCAGCGTGCTGGCCAAGTTGAGTCTGTACACGGAGTCCGCCAACGCGGGACTGCCTTGGGCCCTTCCAAGTCTTTCGAGCCATCCTCGCCACGCGGTGACATACACCATTCGGCGGCGTGGTGCTCGGGAGAGCTTTGAAGGGCGTCACTGTGGGGTCCTGCAGGTAGTTCATGTAAGTCATCCACAGGTGGTAGTCCATTTCCTCTGTGAAATTGGCTCTTAGCTTCAGCTTGTTAGCAGAACGTGTTGGCTGTTGGTTCATCAATGGCGAGACCGGGCGTTGAAGTTGCGGTAGTGGCGGGCAGAAGGAGAATGGGTCAGACGATTCATCTTCGGGGCTTGTGCAGCTGCCGCTTCTTGACATGAAGGACCCGATGCTGTCGCAAGACGAAAGAGACGAATCGGAGAAGCCGGATGATGAGGTGGGTCTGCTAGAGGTCTCGCTCTGGCTAACGTTTGGAACATCCGACCAGTCTTGGGGCCCTTCGTAGTGGCTGATGGTTCTCACTTGATGAGCAGGAGTCTTTGGCGGCGAGAGCATACGAGTATAGCTAAAGCCTGGAGATAGAAAGGCGTCGTCCTGAGACAGAGAGTAGGTTGGCAGCTCACTCGGGGTTTCCGACATGATTTCCGGCGCTTCAATAGTGGGGATGGGTTGTTGATGCATGACTGCGTCCATGTCGTCGGGGTTCATGACCATGGTGGCACGACGGCGGCGGACCTTGAGGACTTGGCGGGGAGGCGGTGGTGGCTGCAGTTGCTCTGGTTGCGGCTCTGGCTCTGGTGTTTGTGGAGCAATGCCGTCACGATAGTGGAACATGAAGTTCCTTGGTAGGGTAGTGGAAACGGAGCGTTCAGACTCCATGGTTGCTGATGTATCACAGAAATAGGAGACGAGCCACTGTTTCGAAACGCTGTCGGGTTGAACCTGGATGGGAGGGTCCAAGTGGTCAGTCTCAGCGACGCCGTCAGGTCTGGACAGTGCACGCGCGACGAGCGGTCAATGCATACAATGGCACAGTGGTTCGTACAGTGCTGAGAAGGGTTCGCTGGTTGTTTGGCTGGGCTCGAACAGGTGTTTGGAACACTGCAAACGCGACTGTGCGGCTGCAGGGTGGTTACACGTGCGAGCAGGATAGCTGCGACTTTAATACGAGAGGGTGCAACTATCGCAACGACACGCGATTTCGGACGCGCGGATCACTGGCGTTGTTGCAATGGCGGAAGGGCTTGCGGATAAGAAGATGGGCGACAAGCTCCGTGTGCAAAGGCGCGTAGCTGGCCGTTGCGAGGGGTGCTGGGGCGCGATGTCGATAGCGCGAGGAACAAAAGCAAAAGATAAAGCGCAAAAGTCTCAACAGGAGGTGGAAGACGCGTCGAGTGTGGCGAGGGGTGGCGGCGGAGGTGGAGGATGCTGGCGATGGGGGCAAGAGTCGTGAGTCGCGGTGAGGAGAGCGGTTCCGTGGGCGGAAGCGAAGTGGGCGCTTTTACTGGGCGTCCATGGGGGCGCGCAAAACGAAAGACGGGAGTAGAAGAAGAGGCAAGGAAACAGTCGTCAAGCAGGCGCCTGGTCTCGGGGCCGACGAGCGTGCGGCTGGCGAGATCGGCTCGGAATTATCGTGAGGTCGTGAAGTGTGAAGGTGATGGTTGGGGGTCGCAAATTCAAGTCGGGTGACCCGTGGACGGTTGTTGGCCGCTAGTGCCAGGACAGGAGCACGGGCTATGGCCAAGATCGTCGATAGCAGCCCTCGGGACGCGCCCATCGAAAAACCAAGCACACGACGACTGCCGGCTTGTTGTTGCAACGGTCTTGGACGTGTCCGGGGCGGCTGGTGTGCATCCTCGCGCACAAGACCGTCTTCTGCAGCTGTGTTCGGCCACGTCGAGCTGCCGCTACAAAGCTGCCAGCGCTGCAGACGACCACATAGCGAAACTGACGCGCTCCAACGCGCTCTATGCGAACGCTAAGCCCGATACGGCCCCAGGTGGCCCGTGCCTGCTTACCGCAGCGGCGGCCCTCTTTTTCGACGGCCCCTGCATACGTCCGGATACTCAACCTGTGTTTTTCTGCAGAGCACCAATGCCTGCCACGACTTTTCCACCTCGTCCACTCTCCTGCTGCCATTGCCATCGATATTGCGCGGCCAGCCTCGCTGACTCCACAGTGCTGCTTTACCCCTCGCATCTGCACTCTCCACACCCACTGCAGCCGCCGCACCATGGGCCACAGCCAACAGCACGCCGCCAGAAGATGCCAGCGCTGCACCGCACAGATGCATTCGCAAGCTGGAGTACCCCAATTCGCTGTCAGTCTGGAGGCTGTGCTCCGCTGTGGGGCATCACGGACGGCACAAACATCAACTCTGCAAATGCTGCATGACTCGTCTAAGCTGGTCCTTTTTGTCTTTTTGTCTCCGTCTGTGGGCTGGTGATCGGTGGCACGCGCTTCTCGCTTCATTACAATCTCTATCGCCATGGTGCCTGGCCGAGTTGCCCATTCTTGATCGACCGCGGCCTTCATCAAGGTCGACGTTGGCAAGCGAGACCCCTATTCTGGCCCGTCTGCAAGTCAGACTGGAGTTCCCTAACGTTTTTTTCCTTGCATCCCGCGCTTGGCTGCGAAAGCGGTCTGGCTCGCGGCATCTTATCACACACCAATAACCAGAGGCGCACGTGTCTCGCCTAATGCGTACATGTTGTGATCCAGGTCGTCTCCCCTCAATGCGTCATTGGTTGTCGTTTCTCTTGCAATTACTATCCTAAGTTTGCAGAGGGTCAAAAAGTGGGCTCAACACAACACGAGGCCCGAATTGCCGCCCATTATGGAAGCTCCACGTGTGTTGTTCCAAACCCACAAAGTCTTCAATAGTCAACGTGCGGGGACGGCATGCGCTCCACCACATTTACAAGCTTACAGCTTCATTTCATCACAGCCATCGATTCATTGCATGTCGGCGCCTCGATTTGGACAAGACTCTGCCATGTCACACAAATGCCAGGTCACTTCACATGGTACCAAAACATTGAACAATAATGCCCTGCTGAAGATGTATTCGCGTCGTATTACGCGTGACTAAGTATATTATCATAAAAAGGGTTCCCATGACCAGTTCATCCATCCCGCCTTCATTGCTAAATTACACATCACATCTGCTCAAATGGCCTTGCTTCGCTTACAGTCCAAGAGCAGTGTTGAAGGCAGTCGCAGCCGCCTGGCCCTGAAGCCCATTAGCGGCAGATGCTGCAGCATTGCAGGTACTGACAGCTGCGGCGCTTGCACCACACTTGTTGGCAAGCTGGGAGCAGATGAAGTCAGAGATGATTGCAATCTTCTGAGCCGAGCCATGGTTGAAGGTTTTCAGATCTGAAGGCTCGAAAGCATCCTCCTTGCGATCAGATGGGAGGCCAAAGACAATCGTAGGGTCGCAGTTGCCAAAGTCTGCACTCGCCTTGCTGCTACTAGCATCATCTTTGGCGGCAGCAGCATTACCGTTGGCGGCGGCAGCATTATCTTTGGCGGCAGCAGCATTACCGTTGGCAGCAGCAGCATTACCGTTGGCGGCGGCAGCTCCATTTCCACAAGTAATAGCCTGCTCTTCCGCAGCTTTGTTGTTCTTGTTGTCGGCTGCAGCTCCCTTTGCCGCTTCCTTTGCTGCTTTCTTTGCTGCTTCCTTTGCTGCTTTCTTTGCTGCTTCCTTTGCCGCTCCCTTTGCCGCTCCCTTTGCCGCTCCATTAGCAGCACCATTGGCAGCATCATTGGCAGTACCATTGGTAGCTCCCTTGACTGCAGCAGCGATCTCGGCCTCACTGAGGTCGTTAACACGAAGCTTAAGGGTGTTAATACATCCGGCATCATCAGTCGCGTCATCACAAGTGTTTCCAGCTGCGGTTGGGTCGCCAATCTTTCCAGGGGCAAATGTGGAAGCCTCATTTGCCATCGATGGGTCGCCACCAATGGAAGCAATTTGACGTGCAAGTTCTTCAGCAATTTGCTTGTTGAGTGCTTGCGCGCCATCAGCAGCAGGGTCCTGATGCTGCTGGAGTGCAGCGATTTCAGGGTTGACTGCCTGAATCGATTTGCAGGGAACAGACTTCAGGCCGACAGAGCCAGTGTTGCGCTCCAAAGCACGGTATATAAGCGCCATGGTCATACCCTCCACATCACCAGCCTTTTTGGCGTTGGTAAAGGCCTGGTCGGCTGTGGCTAGCTGAAGGCAGTCTAGAAACGATTAGCTTCACTGCACTGGTCCTGATCACAGAATAACTCACCAACATCAGCAATGTCACCAGCTCCTTTTGCTGCTGCCGCTGCTCCGAGTAAACCAAAAACAGGGTCCTGAATTTTGGCGGGGTTGTTTTGCTGCAATATGGTGCTGACAGCGAGATTGACGTTGCGATGAGCCTGTTCCTGAGGAACCTCACGCTTCGTCATGACAGCCGTTGGGCGTGCAGCCACAGCACCAGCAAGGGCAAAGGCAATGATAGTGTTCTTCATAGTGAATATGGGACACTGATTCGTCTAGTTTGCAGTCGTCAAAGTGAATAAGGGGGTCTAAAGGAAGGTATATAGCGAAGGTGGACCGGCCTATCGATTCTCCAGGAACGATGAAAAGAAGAAAAAAGAGTGAATACTTTGAGAAGCGACGAGCGAAGGAATCTTCAGAACTGGGCTGTTGATGTCTTCCAGGCAGCATGAGGCATGAGAACTTATATACAGCATGTATCACGGTGGAGTACTCTGTCTGGCACCTGTCAAGCAAGTCTCCGTAGCAAGAACCGCCGGCCTTGTCTGTGCGCAGAGTCAAGAACGCATAATGGTGCCCCCTGGATGAGGGTCCAAGCAACGTCAAGTGCTGTTGCTGTGGAGCCTCACGGTGGTGGTGAGCAGCCGCTAACCTCGTGAGCAACGGAGCCATAGTCCTGAATAGGTGCGATTGGCTAGTTCCTGCTAATAAGTGGGTAGTTGGTATGAGACATGGGCAATGATTGGAGACACCCCTTGCTTCACCACACCTTTTATCAGCCTCGCTGGCCGGACGTAGTGTTGAATGCATACCGAAGGATCGCGCGTAGAAGAAGGACTTCTTTATCCACGCCGCGAGTTCGCTTCAGCTCGACATCATGCGCCTCGCCTAGAGGAAGCGCGCGTTCCACAGAGGACAGTAGTGTCCTGTCAAATTCTTTGATGTAACATGACGTTGTATACCAGCTATAAAGCGATTGTTGTGCTCTTTGGCATTTGTACCAGGTCATGCCGCGCGCGTATTGCATACAAAAAACTCCACGTCATTTTACAAGGCACAAAGGAGGACTTTTGGCCGCCAGATATTATCCACGGCTTGCCCGGATGTTCTACAGAAACGCGTGTTGTGATACTTGGTGGCTTGCGCGGGATGTTGATCTTCACCCGCAGAGGTGCCTCGGCTCACGCCTGACTGGTCTACGACTTGCATCAGAGAGCTCACGAGCAATAACAAGGCTATACCAGGAGGCCTTTACAGGACATATCCATAACATTGTTCGGTTCTACCGTTATTATCGCCCTTATTTTGGTACTGAGACGTGTTCGATTTTATCCGCAGTTACACTCGTGGTTCACAGACGATGCGTGTCTCAGATGACCCGATTCTGCCTGAGACGAACCAACTCTGACAATCAGCCACGTTGAGAGTATCAGAACGTCAGACGGCGATTGTGGTTGCATCATTGCGAGATTAAGCCGTGACTTTCAATGGGCCTGCATCCTGCTCTGTTTCTTTTCTGAACGCATTATTCAACTGTCCTCTACTTGTTGCCTAGTTCAACATCCGGTACGCATCCTCACAGCATTATCACACATCCTGCAGATCATAATAGCCTCGATTGTCGGGGCGAATCGAAAACACACTGTTATCGCTCAGCACACCGCACTTGAATGACCAAATTTTCACATTGTTGCATCCTCCGCTTCTCGGCATATACTTGCTCAAGGCCCACATATACGCGGAACAATTTACATCCAGTCAGTCAACGCACATCAATCGAACCACTTGTGCATTAACAATATACAGCAATTCCCCATTGGGTACAATAACGAAGTCATGGCTAAGACTAAGACAATTGTCATCTCACAGCCAATGGACGCTCGACATGTCGGTGGTGTCAATATTATGGGTAGTGGGAGCTCAAGCCTTGACAACTACTTCAATCACAACGAAGCGGAACCGAATGAACGGTCACCTTCTGGCCCTGACGGCGTCAAATTAGAAACACGCGGCCGTTCAGATACCGTACCGGTTAATACACGACGACCAGGTCTGTCTTGGAAGGACAGTTTTTCTAGATTGAGACAAAAGTCTTTCTCTCCTAACTCAAGATCACGTCGTGGAAGCGAGGAGAGGTATCTACCAGAAAGCCAGGTGAACAAGCAAGTAGAAAGGTGTGATGGCAGTCCTACTCCTCTGAGGACACGGCGTAGTACAACACGACTAGGACAGAGCATCGGATTGGAAAGCGATTCAGACAATTCCACCCCAGTATCAAAAAGTCGAACATTTCAACCAGAGCTCGCATCAGCCCGTCCCACCACAGCCTCTTCAATCTACTCAACAGCCACCAAACTTGAACCATACAACGCAATAACCACATCTGAAAGAAAGGTTACTTGGAACGAGCAACATCCCCCACCTCCTGGAGAGCGCAAATTATCTGAGGCAAGCATCCGGCCAGCTCAGCCATGGGCGAAACCCAAACGCACAGACTCAGGCACTGCCATTGACTTTACACATGTGCCTGTAGAGGAGCGTCCGATTCCCTTTCAAGAAATCATGGCTGTCCCGAGCCTATCAGAGCGCTTAGCCATGTACAAGAAGACGCGCGACTACTGGGCGACTGCAGACCACGGACTGGGAGAATGGGTCGAGCGAGCTGCGTCGTCAAAGATAATTGCTGCATAAATCGTGGAGGGGTCTAGGAACTGGGCAGATTGCGGTCCACTCCTCTATACTGGGGATTAATCTTGTGACTTTGCTTTTGGCACGCATGGGTTTGGTAGGATCGGAAATATTTGGGGGGGGGGGGTTTCGCAGCATCATGGGCGCTGGCCACCCATGGGATCTACTCGTGCCTTGTGATGGCCCTAGACGACCTCATTTGTTTTGTCCAACAGAGTTGGTTATATGATAAGGTGTATAAAAGTCTATTGATATCTTGGAACGAAACGAGCTACTTATATATAAATAATGTTTGATTGATTTTGTAATGGTAATCATTTACAATGCCACAGGTGTACAACAGCACAATTGATGGGAAATCTACTGGTTTTGTGCTTTCGTTGACATTGGAATCGGTATCGTATAACCAGGGACAGAGTGGCTTCAGAGATAATTGCATAGTCATGCCTGTCAGCGACCACATCTTCCACAAACACCACACTGACAAAATTTATCCACAAACATACGAACCCCACACAGAGACAAAGCGCGTCAGCCATCCAAACAAAACCAAACAACATCAAATCATCGTTTCAACCCCGCTACCAAGACATTTCAAACACATGACAACAAAACACTGTTTCCCGTCTCACTTTGAGGGATTTGAGACCTGAAAGAGATATTTGAAAAAAAAAAGAAAAACTAAAAAACACATGTACTTATACCGATGAACTACCGTTACCAAACAAGCAAATCACTACCCTACAATCCAACCAACACCACCTCAGAAGCTAGATATCTCCGTGAAAATAAAATAGAATTACGACATACATGGGAGGCTACACACAGAACAAGAAACCCACCAAACCTTGGCACACCAAGCCCAAACCCCGAAAACACACCGAAAAAATGTGCTACATCCACCTCCACACGTGTTCGTCTCCACCCCCACAAACATGCGCCCACGTGCTGGATGTCCAGTATACGCACTGCGACCACGCCACCACGCATAGCCTGGACCCGACAGTGTGTCCGCATGGGACGCAACGACAGCGCGTACGCAATGGAGAAACGTGTGCAAGATGTAGTGAGAGGAAGGGGAGTTTAAGTTTAGGACCGGTGGTTATGGGCAATGGGAGATGAGAGATGAACGGAGACAATGACGAAGTAAAAATAAAAAACAAAATTACCATTTTACACCCGAGGACTTTCACGGAGGAAAGAAAAAAAGAACTAACTAACTTACCAAGTTTCAACGTGAAAGATGTGAGAGATTGTCGTCTCATCTACATACATTGTTCGTTGGGAGGGCGTGTGTGTGTGTGTGTGTGTGTGTGTGTGTGTGTGTGTGTGTGTGTGTGTGTGTGTGTGTGTGGGGNAAAGAACGAAAGGTGGGGGAGGGGGGCTGTTGGATAAGAAGAGTTTAAAAAAGAAAAAAAACAATGATTATGGATTAATAAAACCCAACTCCTACTTTCCATTCCAGCATCCATCCACGTACACAAAAAAACAACTGGAACCCTCCATATATGCTCGACTGGAAAAAAAGGGTGTAGACATGTGAACACATGTTCCATCCATCAATCACCATCCCCATCTGTTTGTTGAAAATAAAAAACAAGTATTTCCGTTGGCCATTTACTTCGTTCTTCTTTGAGTTTCTTTCCTGCATTAAGTCGTACGTGTGCCGTCGTATCCAAAAATATAAAATGTTGGGCTCGTGATGATGTTGATGAAAGTTACTTACATGAGGTGGGGGGGATCAAAAAAAGAGTTCACATCAAACAAGTAAGAAGAAGGAAGCCAACCCAGTGAGCAAGCAAGTCAGTCTAGTTGACGACGCAAACTAGGCAGTGTCTTGTTGCTGTTGCTGCTGAGGTGGCGTCTGACCGAAAAGGCCACCAAACCAACTGGTCCTGTTGGCAGCTTTGCGCGCCTTCATAGCCTCTTCTTCGTTCTGGACCAGGCGCAGCGGTTGCATGCCCTTGCCTGTCATGACCCTAGTGCTGGTCTCACTGCGCATGAGCTGACGCGGCGGGCTAGGCGTATCGACGTGACTGGCCGACGAAGACTCGGTGCGAGCATCCACCTCCTTGTCCTCTGGGATGGGGCCCTGACCAGATGGAACTCTGGAAACCGGGTTGCTGGACCCTGGCCCACTGTTGACTGGTAGGCCAAAAAAGGAGTTGCGGGGCGAGACCACACCGGGCGAAGCCGGGTTGGATGCTCCAGGACGATACATGTTGTTGACAATACCGGCGGCGCCAGGAACATCGGACGTTGATCGGCGATGGCTGCCGCTTGGGTGGCGACTTGATGCAGAGCGTGTAAGGGGAATGCTGGGCGCTGTAGCTGGGTCTTCGTGCGCACTCTGTTGGGTTAGGGGTGGCGGACCCATGGTGCCACTGAGGGGCCGAGGCTTGTTTTTGTTTCCCATGGCCACGGACTTGGCGCGCTGGAGGAAGCCTTGGGGCTGCCCATTCTCCTGGGGCGGCGGAGGTGGAAGCTCCTTATTTTTGTC